CAGCGCCCTGGGCGCGGCAGAAGAATGAAGCGGCTGCGCCCTTGATCCTCGGCCGCGTCGCGCTCGTCCCCCCAGGCTGGCGTTGTCACTGCCTCTGCCGCCGGGGCGTAGCCCTGGTCCAGGCGGTCTCCGAGCCGTCCCCCGGCCCCCTCCGGCCCGGTCTCTAGCGGGAAGCAAACGCAGCTCGATCTTGAGGGACTTGGGGCCTCCGGAGCCGCGGCGGGCGCAGGGGGGGCCGCCAGGCCGGGCTGTGCTGCTCCCCGGCCCTGTCCTGACTCGGGTTGTCCCTGAGTTCAGGAAAACGTGGTGGTCTCCGGTGTCCGCCTACAGACAGGTGCCTGGTGAATGGGGTTTCATAAAGCATCCGATTACAGGAGGAATACAAGGATGAGCCAAAATACCAGAGGAGGCTAGGTTAAGGTTCAGCTGGTTTTTCTTTCCCTCCCTGTTTCGGTCACCTGTGAGGCTGCATTGAGAGTTCAGGTTTGCTCAGTGTCTGTGGAAAGCGCAGAGTAAGCGTGTTCGGGATGTCGGCAGCAGACAGTGAATTTTTTAAATGATGTTACGCTTCGGATTATCTGGATACTGCCAAAGATAAGAACAAATAGATGGTAGTCAAAATTATGACCCACGTACTTAAGTCCCACACGTAAGCACCTGTTGGCACAGGTTTCCTGGCAGCTTACATTGTGAGATTCAGTTTTCAGTTGTCCACAGTTTTTTTGAATCCAAAGCCATTAAAGCTGAATCTTTTCTTCAGTGTTCCTCCAGCACAATTTACTTTTTAAATACTACCTGAAATGTTTCTTGCTACTGTCTTGAGAAACAAGGATAGTAAGAGATGCAGTGTTTTTATTACTGTGAAGTAATAGAGGATTTTTAGAAACTGCATGCATTGTAAAAGAAGATTTAAAATCATGCAAGGGAGATCTCTTGCTGTACTTCTCTATAAAAAATGGGTTGTTAGAAGTTTCTGGGTAGAAAGCTGATCTCATGGGCTTACCAGAGACTTGCAGACATAGCATACGAGCGTGGCAACGTCATGTGTACTAGGGATGATCCATCCTATCTTGTGTCTCTTGTGGCATGGTGCATGCATCATGTATAGAAAACTTCTGAGCAGCCTAAGGTTGTAGAACAGGATATTCCTTGTAGCTATTTCTGTCTTCTAATAGGGATTCCTCTTCCATGAGGCATCTCTGAATTTGGGTGGATAAACAGGCTTCCCAGTGCAGTTCTTCCATCTTTTTTTTTTTTTTTTTTATATTTTTTGGTTTTTTGCCCCTCTCTAGATCAGTCTTTCTGGTGCTGTGAAGGTTGATGAATATTGGTTTAAGAAACAAAACTAAAATTGTAAGATGAGCTCACCCATAGAAAAATACATAAGAAAATTTATCTTTTTCTAATTAATGTAAGAGTGAATGTGTACTATGAGTTAGATGTGTGTCTTTACATTTCTTAAGGTAGAACAAAATATTGAATCATTCCTAGTTCAGAAGGTACTGTACCTTTTCTGCCTTTAATTTGGTTTTGGTGATATTAAAGATTATGTACTCATGTCATTACACAGTGTGTGCACAAGCAGTTCAGTTCAGTTGCACAGAAGATCCTAATCCAGGCATTTTTAAACTTTGGAATGCCTTTTTTTGCAGGAAATTGGTGTATGTGCCAAATGTGCCTGTATGCAAGCATTCAGTCATCCCTTGCAATACTGTAGTAGTAGGTTCAAGAAAGAAAATTTGAAACTTTTTACGTAAATGGCCAGATGAGTAAGAGCAGCCATATCAGCACAGATCAAAGCTCCACCTAGCATAATACCCCATCGTCCATTCTGGCTGACAGTGGATGGTATAGTAGATAGGAATAAGACTGGCATAGAATTGTGTTTCCCCAAAGTACACTTTCAGCTTCCAGCAATTTGTGGCTTGAGAATTTTATAGCAAAATGTATTTGAAAAATTAAATAGGACAGCCCTTTCCTTTCCCCAGGTACCACTAATGTTTGCTGTCGGATAGGCCAACTCCTACATCATGATTAAACTCACAGTGGTTATTCCCAAACTGTGTTTAACTTCCAAGTTCGCATATGTGTTGAAGACCTGAACAAGGGCTTATGTGTCTGAAACATAATCTGTTTTTTCCGGCTGCACTTGGGTCTGCTGAAAGATATTTGTCTTCATGCAAACTTAAAGGCCGCATTTTTCTGTAGACATTCCTGAACTGAGGTGGACCATTTTGGGGTCCATTGAAATAGAATGTATCTATCCTGTATGGTGTAATTAGACACATATTTTATCCTTCCTTTAAAACATTGCATGTTCAGATCTGCTACAAGCAAGAAAGAAGAAACATTTTCTTTTGTGGTTCTTTGTTCTAGAATCCTTCATTCAGATTGGTCAATTTCTATCTTTTAATGTTTAGAGTATTTGAAGATTAAAGCAGGGCTTAAGAAGTTTGATTAAAGCAGAACATATTTGCTGCAGAATGGAATTTTGGAAAAGTAAACTTTTTCAGTATATTTCCTGTTAAGGTAACTACTGAGTCTTGGGGTGTGTACAGAGCACAAGTTGCAGCTAGTACATCTATTTGAAATGAAAATTACAGTGGGGGGGGGGGGGCAATCTTTTCCTGTTATTAATTTTTGTACAATGCCAATTTTTGTAATAAATCTTATACACTGTCGTCCCAGCTGCACAGGTTTTGCCTGTTTTGAAACACAACGATGTGTGGAGAGCTGTTGTTACATAGCAATGCGTTTTATTAACAAAGTATTGTAGAATTCCATTTAATTATCAGACTGGGTTGTTCAGCCCATGTGAGAATTAGTTTGTCAGCCTCCTGAGCCAAGAACTTTTATTTTCTTGTCTGTACAGTACTGTCTGTACTAAAGATAAATCAGAAATTGTTCATATTGCCTCACTTCCAATCTTGAATAGTTTGTAAATACAGTGTAATATCAATAATATTTTGTGCTCTTTCTAGTTTTAACTATTAAAGAAATATTTTGCAAGATATATGTTCTTTCAAGATAACTTCACTTTCCTGGTCTAACATACAAATCTTTACCTGATTATTTCAACACTGTGTGCAGCTGGTTATGTTAATGCTTTGGTACCTATCGAGCAGAAGTAACAAATGAAATAGCAAAATTTTCCATCTGATTTGTTGCAGGGTATTTACAACAGGAAAAACTTCTAGCTACCTGCCGTGAATTTATTTTGGAAAGCTCAGATTTGAAAGAATATGCAGAGCACTGTACAGAGGATGGGTTTATTCCAGCCTGCTTGCTGGTGAGTTTGTATTTGCAAAGCAGAAAGTTAGATTGTCTTGTATCCATGGAAAAGAAAATTGAGATTTCTCAGTGTAACAGTTACTTCTCGAATACTGCTTAAAATGTTTAGTTAGATCGTCCCCTCTGGTTTTGGGGGGTTGTTTTGCATCATGTGGTATTAGCAGTTATTTGGTTTCTAGTATTTAATCTTACTATGAAACATTTAAGTGTAAAATATGCAAATTCATTTCAGCGTATTATGTTTAGTCTGCTTTATAGCTTTGAGGTTGATTTATGGAAGGGTGTTGCAAGGGTTTTATTGATTGCAGGGCTGCTCTTGTAATTTATTGGACATTGCTTTCCTATCCTAGACACGGCAGCTGGTAATGTTCCATTTCAAGTACATATTAACTATTTTGTTAAGGTACCTCAGCTTTATCTAAGGCTACTAAATTTTGTTGACAAAAACTGTGTTTCAGTTCAGCTTCCTCTTTGATCAGTATCGTCTGCTTTGTCCCAGGTGAAATGTGGGACTTTGGGTGTGCATAAATACAGTGTGTAGCTACTTATGTAGATATGTGCATATAGCTACAGGGTAATTAGATACTTTGTTTTTTTTTTTAACATACACAAAATGGGGGTTTTAATATAGTATGCAAATTACAGGGTTTAGATATTGCTATGTATCAACATTTTAATGTTTATATGTGCATCTTCTTCCTTTTTTCTGTTTCATTCTTCTAATATAACAGTTAATTATATTGTCTGGGATTTTGTCCACAGTATTCAAAATTTGTGGAAATCTTTTCTGAGATCCGAAGTCTTGATGCACCTATTCAAAACAGACCATTGAACTTATTTCATTTACAAATGTTTAGTCATCTGTATTTTGGGGGTAGGGAATTGAGAACCAAGCTACGGCCAGCAAAAATTAGAAAAACCAAATGTAAATAGATTATGCAGATTCTTAAAGCTTTTAATTATCTTCCTTTTCTCAGTAGAAACATTTTTCCTGTTTTTCATAGAAAGGTGATGATAGGATAGTGTCTAAGAAAAAATTTTCACTGTACCTCAAAGTACTTGCAATAAAGGGCTGTATTTGTCATACCCTGTTGAGTTCCCACTAGAAAACAAGGCAAGAAGGTACAACAAATAGTGGTAACTTTAAAATCTTAATTCTTTTTGTTTCACCTAAAATAACAGAAAAAATAAATATGATATGAAGGTTAATTCTGTGTGACTTAAGAATTTTACTTCAGACAGAAGTTCTCGTCATGTTTGCATCTTAACGCACGTTGTGTTCCAGGATGATACATACTCATTACTGTTACAGCTGTTCATCATCTTATTTTTGTGGGTTTATTCCATAATAACAAAGGTGAATGGAGGTCATGCAGCTCTAACTGCTGTACCAGTGTTGTGCAATGAGATCAAGCACTTCACGTCTTGTGTTCATAATGGCATTTTGTTCCATAGATAGCTCTCTATCTAGTTTGAGACAACTCAGCACCAGCAGCACAAAGTACAGTTCCTCGTGTTCAGGGTCAGCATGGTATGGTCCTCTAAAGAACTGCTTAAACATAATGTGAACTAGCAGATGAAGTATAAGTTATTAGTGAAGATTCTGAGATCAGTATTTTTTTTTCCAGTCCCTGTGTGGAAAAAACTTGACAACTATTCTTAATGAATATGTAGCCATGAAAACAAAAGGTAAGCCTTCAGAATGAGATTTTATTTTATTTTTCTTATTTATCTGTTGTGAACTCCTTGAGAAAGAGGTAATATCTCCACCTATATATGGACTTAAAGCAATCCCCCATCTATGCTGTAAGTTGAAGGTTTCCATATTATGTAGACAACGGCCAATTAGATCAGCATTTTGTGAGCAAAATTAGTTGATTATCTTAGTTTGGTTTTGCCAACCTGTATTTTCACTTCAAATTTGAGCAGAACTTTTAATGTAATAAAGCACAAAGATATAATAAAGTTTGCCAAATGTATGGGTTTATACTGTTTATTGTTTATACTATAAATAGGAGGGGGGAGTACTGATGTCCTCTCTCTGGTGACCAGCGATAGGACAAGCAGACGTGGAATGAAGCTGTCAGGGGAAGTTCAGATTGGACATTAGGAAAAGGTTCTTCACTGAGAGGGTGGTCAGTCACTGCAGCAGGCTCCCCAGGGAAGTGGTCACGGCACCAAGCCTGTTCAAGGAGCGTCTGGACAACGCTTTTAGTCATATGGTTTAGTTTTAGGTAGTCCTGCAAGGAGCAGGGAGTTGGACTCGATGATCCTTATGGATCCTTTCTGACTTGAGATATTCTGTGAAATAACCAGGAGGGGTCTTACGGTGTGAAATGTTTCTTGTCTTGTTTTTAAAAATAACTAAAATGATTTTCAGAATAACTTAATATTTTGTATGAACATTAGAGACGGAGTTAGAGCATTTCCTGTTTTTAAAAGCAGTTACTGAGCATCTGAATGTTGCCAAGTCTTGCAATTTTTTAATACGTGTTGTACGATCAGATTTTAGTGGTGCTTGGTTCTAAGACTTGCAGTTTAAGACATACCATGTTTGGAACATTTCTGAATATTTTTTTGTTTTCACACTAGGTTTAATTGAAATGCTAACTAAGACACAAACATACTTTCTTCAAAATACTTCGTACTTGGCACCTTGAAAAACTTTATAAATTGATCTGCTTGCATCTTTCCATTTGTACTTAAATGTTCCATGCTTCAAAAATACCAAGTGTTTTTACCTGTTTGGGTGACATCTTAAAATAAAACATTACTTTTAAAGGCCTGTCTGCCAGGTTACAATTTTCAAAAGCACACAAGTGACTTGGGAGTATGAATACCATTTCCAGAAGTGAGTTAGGTTGGGTTAGCCCAGGAGTCAACACCATGTGCAGATTCCATTGAGAATTATCACCATAAATGTTTCTGCCTCAGTTTCATTTAGGCTTCTAAAACTGAGAACTGTATCCATGATGAGTCTGTGTTCATATCAATCAAAGTTCTTTAATTAGGAGTTAGGGCTCTCTAACTGACAGACTATTAAGAAGGCAACTAGACACCTAAAGTTAGATGATCACCCCATGATAATTATTTTGCTTGTGATTTTACTTTTTCTCAATATGTATCTGTTTTAGGCATCTAAATTTGTTTTTTTTATGGTTTATTTTAGAAACAACAAATGAAGTTCCAGCAATGATGTCATCTCTGTGGAAAAAATTAGACTATACACTTTCTCAGATCAGGTAACATAGTTTTGAAATCAAGAAAGTAAAATTTCACTCTAAGAGTGAGTCCCTATGTTGATCAACTCCCCTTATCATTGTATGAGAATGGTTTTGCTCTCTATTGCCTCTGAGAGATGGTGAAAAAGATAGGTATGTGAGAGTTGAGTAGACATTTTAAGATTTTAAGGCAGGACTAGCAGATAAGGAGGGCATTACTGGAGCATGTGGCCTTCCTGTAATAAAACAGCGTACTATGACTCATTTAGAATCTGATGCCATTGTGGTTACTTGATCAAAAATGTAACAGTAAGCTTCGTTTGAAGGATCTGTGACCATTGTTTGAAAAAATAAAAATAACAATCAGTAGATTGAAGCTTTCTGAAGTAATATGTGGTTGGGACCGGACTGACGTTAACCATATGATAGATACCATCACACTGTGTAGCTGAGTGTTTCCGTTGTGCTCCTTTTATTTATGTCACCTGCTTTATTTTTTAGGAGCATGCAGAATTCCACAGGATTTTCTGCTAATCAAAGGAGTAAGTAACTGAGCCAGTTCCATGTGGTCAGTAGGCTTTATGTTCTGTTTATCTGTTTTGGCAAAAAATGGGGGAATGCTGCAGCAATCAATAACGCATCCTTACTCTTACAATGTTGTCAAATCTCTTCTGCAGTGGTTTTTCAGCATGTCTGTGGTCTTCAGTGCAGTCTGTGGATTGCTGTAATGATCAAGAAAGGAAAATGAGAAAAGCTGAGCTTTTTGCAAGGGGCTTAAATTCTCTATATAGCATCTTCTCTGCTGAAAACTTTTTAGAAGTTTACACGGTTAGAAGTTTTAAAAACGGCTGCTTCAGTCCTGAAGCTGTTGAGTTAATTTGTGGTTCATAGAGGAACTGAAAACATAACCAGTCTAATTATGATGCAGTTTCATTTCTGTAGAAGGGGAATATATCAATGTGTTACAATCTTGAAACAATTATTTTTTATGCATACAAACATATATCTAAGCAAAATATGAGAAGATACTTGTTCTATCTAAAATTGTTTCTTTCATTACAAAAACTGCCAAATGAACTCTCAGAAAAGTTATTTTACTTAAAAATAATTTTTTCTCTCTATAGTACTTCTACTGAGTAACCTGTGTGAGAAAAGAGAATGTGAAATATAGGTAGTGATTGTTCTTGGATCTGAGATTCGCTGGACTGGGTGGTGTTCTGTTGTTTAAATTTGTCAGAGTTAGTCTGATAAATAAATGCAAACTTACACACCCATTCCAGTTAAGGTCAATTATATGAGTGGTATATTATGTTATGAAATACCATTTTGGTATGATTTATTCCTGTAAATATTTAAGCAGTGATACAACCATGGTTACATTGTCTATGTAAGTTGGCTGTACTTCAATTAATTAGGCTCAAATGTGTAACACAGAAGACAAAGATGGATGTTGCTTAGTTTTTGAGTTTCATGAATTAGTTGTTTAAGCACAAAAACGTTTTAGTGGAGCATTCTTAAGTAGGTCTTGGAAAATCAGCAACCTTTTAAAATTCCTTTATCATATATTTTCATCTTGTCTTTGTTATCTCCAGCACGTACAAGAAGTGGAATTGTAGAAATGAAAAGACAGAGAATGCTTCAGCAATCAGCTCCTGCAAACTCAGGATTGTTGTCAGTAGCCCATCAGTCAGGGCCGCAGAATTCCTCTGCCATTGTATCTCCTCAAGTTATTCACAGGCCAACAATAAATCAAAGCATGTCACAGACAAGACTGAATACGTTGTTTATGCACCAGTCACAAACCCAAGAAAACAAGATCACCAGTAAGCTGCACACTTTTTTAAACCTTTTTTTCTGTGAAAAATCTATGGATATAGATGGAAGTTTTCTAAAATCAGGGCTAATCATCTTCCACCAAAAAAGTTTCAGAAAATTCATGCTTTGTTCCCCTAGCTCTTCAAACTGGTTCAGGTGATTAAAATAAAAGGAGCGCCCAAAAGAGAAATGGCTCTTGCATACTTGCTTGCTAATGTGAGTTCAGAGATCAGAAGTGCATTAATTTATCATTATTCTATCCTGTGTTCTCACCCTCACCTAAAACACTTGTTTCAGCAGGTAGGGGTGATCCACATCAAGTGGATGTTTTTCTCAGGATATATTTAAAAGGAATGGTTCTCATTTTCATGATAGTACCAAATTATTTTGTATGAATTCCCAGGAATTGATTGGAACATAATAAGTAATGTGTAGATTTCTGTAGTACTTCAGCAATGTTACTGGAAAAAGTACTGGCATCATGATCTTTTTTTTTCTTTTATTTTCCTTTATAAAGCAGGAGATTTCATACACATTCAAGTTCCAGCATCACAAGAACGAAAGCTTAATTCAAACTTGCTTTCTCCAGGAAGACGAAAAAGGTAAACATGGGGTGGGTTTGGTTTTTTGGTGGGTTTTTTTGGGTTTTTGTTTTGGTTTGGTTTGGGTTTTTTTAAGATCATTTAGAGATTATGCGGTGTTCTGACCTCTAGTGTAAATTTTCTTAGATGGCGGAGTGTTTCACATTTAAGGTCCACTGAGAGTGGCTGGTGTGTGATGTTTCACAAATGAAAGGAAAATCAAAGAACTTAAAATCAGACTGATAGGAGGCTACTTGTGCTTCTTTATTGTATATAGCCGGTCTTTACGTTATTCCAGTATTAGGCATAGGCAAATGATCTTGGAGCCTGAGATTTAGTATTCCTTCCAAAATATCCTTATCAATTATGAATATTCTCAATATTGATATAAATATGCATTTTGTCTGTTTTTTGTCTGCAAAAATTTTCACATTGGCATTAAAAGTGGTGTGAAAAACTGTTCTTACACTAGTTTTGCATTTTTTATTCTTTGATTCCAATGTCGTTTCGTTTTTAATGAGTTGACTGGTCTCTTTGTGTTCCGTTTGTTGTCTTTATCCCTGACTAAATCCCAGTCGGTGGTTTTGCTTACCATTTTTCCAGATCCTTATTCATTTATACCTTTTCCAAGTCCTCTCTATTCCTGCATGATTTTTTTGTATATAAGTGATTTTAGTGCTGATTGATGGTTTCAGAAGACCCTACACCATGATTTCATATAAAAGCATTACATTTCCTATTCATCATCTAAATTCTTATGCAACCTAACATTTGTTTGCTTCTTTGACAACAGCTGCTTCTTCAGAGGTCTTTATTTTCAGTGGTGATGCCCAAATCTTTTTCTTGAGTGGCAGTTAGTTAGAACCTGTACCACTGGTTAAAGTAATGTGTACTGGAGGGGGAAAAATACTGAATAGTGAGCATGGAATTCAATTTGCCGTTGTGCTGTTTACCCACAGTCTGTATATTTGTTTGCAACTTCTATGAAGTCAGACACAATATATGCATATGAAATAATGGAAGAGGTATTGGCTTTTATTGTATTTCCAGTATGTAGTTAATTTTCTGTTGATTAAAATCTTTCGTTTGCTAAGAAGGAAGAGAAACACTTGATTTACCTACCATTAGGTCTGTTGTATTGTATAAGACCATAGCAAACATAAATTTCCTGGAATGTTTCAGTGAATCTCAGAAGAGGAAAAGCATTGCAACATCTGGACCTCTTTCAGCAACTAGAAGTTCTCAAGACCCTGATGAAGTAATAATAGAAAAAGAAAGTGAGCCGCTTGAAGAATTCATAGATGGTAACTTCCCAGTGAGTATATACTTCTGGAAGGTATTTACATTTAAGAAACAAATTCAGACTAAGGAAAACTAGTCTTTTACATGTTGTTTGTCTTGGGTATTATAGAAATTTACTTTAGAAGATAAATTTATAGTTTTGTATTTGAACTAGCTCTTCTATGTACTAAACTAGTGAGGATAGCATGGCTACGTAGAGTGGTTTTTTTCCTCGATTTATTGGCTTTGCTAAGATACCTGTAAGCTGTCAGAATACGGTAATTTTTTAGAGAATGGAAACCAGAAAGCACAGTAAGCCTTGCTGTACTTTAGGAGAGTAGAAGTATGGGAATGTTTTGGGATGATTTTCATAGCAACGTCATGCAGTCACAGACTGGCTGTCTCTCTGTTATAAAGTGTGTTCTTTGTGTTGAATTGATTTTTTTTTTTTTTTTTTTTTTTACCAGTAAGTTGGAAATTCATGCTCCTTTTCTAGTGATGATAAAAATAGAAACCTGACCACTTTAAAACTGTGTTTTCCAGCAACTGGTTATTGAAAATGCCAGAGAAAAAATCTTGAGCAACAAATCTCTTCAGGAGAAGCTTGCTGAGAACATTAACAAAATCCTGGGCAGGTAATAAAAGGAGCCTCTAAACTTCATATGTATTCTTATTTGATTTATTTTTGAGTTCTGAACTAATGAGTAATGTGTTCCAGTGATGGCAGTGTCGCTCAGGCCCCTAAACAGACAGACAGCGGTCCCACAGAACAGGAGACTTCAATTGATGAAATCCTTGGACTTCAGGTAGGTGTGGATGGCCCTGTTTACATTTTTTGAAGACCAGGCGCATGCGATCAGTTATGGAAACTGTGCTGAACCTGTTTACTGTCTGATACCTGAGATTGCTCTCCTCTTTCCTTTCTTTCCTTTTATTTGTTTGTTTGGTTTACAATACAGCTAAGCCTATCTAATGGCTAGCTTCTGCCCAGGGGCAGTTTCACTATGCCAGTTCCCTGGCATAGGCATTAACTCTTATCTTGTTGTACGGTGGTGGGCAGGTTCGAGGAGCTGAACTGACAGGATACTAGTATTTTGCTGGGGTTGATTTTGAGCCAGTTTAGCACTCTGCATTCTTTCCCAGTGCCTGTACAAGGCAGCATAAGCATGCAGCAGGGTCAAAAGCCAAGGGAGTAGGACAGCTTCTGGCAGTGGTTAGTTGTTAATGTTACCCACAGACTGAGATATAAATACACTGTCCCACAGTCACCAGCTGTCTGCTTGTCACTGGATCTTTGGTACCAGTAATTGGGTACCAACTTCTGACTGGGGATCTGATCAATAGCTTTGTAAAAAAAAAAGGAATTTAAAATATCTTGTGGTTGCCAAACATGTTTAGTCTGATCTGATTTTCTGATTTGCTGTAAGATAAGCATGGATTGTCTAGTATAGCAAGAGAAATTGTCTTTGGAGCCTAAATAAGGATGCTTTTTCTTCAAATTTAATATTTTCTTGCTTTTGGAGGTGATATACATTCTACTTCTACAGGCTAAACTTTTAGTGTTCTCCCTTCGTTCTTCTAGAACCCTCGAGCTGGCAATCACAGGGTTATAAAGGGGTCTTAATGAGGGAATTATAATGTTCATGGCCCTCGTGAAAAGGGCAAGAGAGTAGAGGCAGTTGCCTGTTTACAAAGTAGAGGTGTCTGGTTTTTAAAAGCTGTTCTTCTGTCACTTGGTGATTTTTAGGTCAATTTTTGTCAAAATATGGAGCTGAAAAGCTGTATTCCATTTTTCTGAGCAGAAGAAAATCAAAGCAGCTTCTTGGTTCAGTTAGAGTAGCTAAGACAAAATAATCAAGCATATCACATGGGATATCCACCCTTACAACCACCACATCAAAAGCTGCAGAGTACTTAAGAGGGTCTCCGGGAAGTCAGACTTTGTATTTCAACATTTGAATATGTATTGAACGGCCTGCTCATTTTCTTCCTGGGCTGCTACCAAACAAGTCAGCTTGAAACAGGAACCTTAGAGCAGTGTCCTGTGTAGCTGTGCCTTCCAACTGCCTTCCGCAGAAAAGTAGTTGGAAGTTATATTATAGAACATGTAATAGGTAAATGAAATAAAACTTCCCTTTGCTTAGCCTTGTATTCTAGATATGTACAAACCCAAGAAATGAGGGTTAATTTGGGGATTTTTTTTTTTTACCAGTGGTTGGCTAGTGCAGGCTCACAGCATTCATACCATCTCCATAAGCTTCCAGCGTAGCCCGAGATTTAGTCCTTCTTAAACAATGCTCCTTCTTAAACAATTACTCCGCTATGCTGAACACGTTTCAGACTCAGCAGGACATGGTGCTGGGCCACCTCGTCTAGATTGTGCTAGAAAGGTTGGACCAGATGAGCCTTGAGGTCCCTTCCAACCTGGTATTCTATGATTCTATGAATGCTGGTCATTATGTGGAGAATACTCCTATGTGCATGTGCAGGGTGCAATGTCTGAGAAAGATGTTTGGATTTCGGGAGACTTTATTTCATAGAATCATAGAATACATTTCTTCAATCACTGATATTTTTTAACAGACATTAAAGTTGTGGCAGAAATGTTCCCAGCATTAGTCTTTATGTTTCTGTGCTGAGCAGAAGTAATACAACTAAAGACAATTTGAAAAGAAAACAATTCTTGTCTGTTTTTCTTTAAGTTATTAAAGTAGCTGTCTAACCATTCTGTATGTCTTGTCTTTTCTCAGGGTGAAATTCATATGTCAGAAGAGGCTATACAGGACATTCTAGAACAGACAGAATCAGATCCAGCTTTTCAGGCACTCTTTGACTTGTTTGATTATGGTAGGGTATATTGTTCTCAATTGTACCATTACTATAAAGCATCATGAATGATGAGTTTTCCTAAGTATTGCTTGAAGAAGCCAAAGGTAGTTCAGCTGGCCTCCTTTGCAAGAAAAATGGACTGTATGGCATCTGTGTCCCTCCATTCAGAATTAGATTTTTATATACGTTTATACGTGATTATCAAGTACAGCATTTTATTGTGGCTGAAATTCTGGTTTTGTGCTGGCTCAGTGATCGTTTTATTGCTGTTATTTTAGACTCTTCTGGTCTAAAGGATGGTTGTTCATACTTGTTTTTCTATTCTGTTGTAAAGTTTTTCTATTTGTCTGATCAGGGATATCCTGACATAAAATCCAAGGATGTTTTTATGCTATTTCTGGATTTGTAATGAATATAGAAAAATAGTTCTTTGAGTTTAGGATGGCATTTCTTGAATTTGAAATCTCCATGCTTCATTTAAAATATAATAATCACATTTGTGTGTAAAATGACATATTTAGTCATTCTTTATGCTTTATTTTGAAAATAGGAAAGAGCAAAGTAAACAAGAACTTACCTGCTGGTATTTCTGGTCAGAGTGGAGTAGAAAATACAATCCTCGTGGATGAGGATAACCTGGAAACACTTGAAAGTTCTTTGGGAACAGAAGAAACTAGTAGATGTAGGTTGTTCTCTTTTTCTCTAAGGTTTCTTCTAGTATATTCACGTTTCACTATGAAAGTATTTTCAGACAATTTGTATGTTTCAAAATCTTTCTGTTTTCAGTGGTAATATCCAATTTGACATTTACATTGCATGAACATACAGATACACCTAGTCTGTTAGAAGGTTTCAGTCTATTAAATTCAACAGTATTCCATCAGTGTACTTCCAAGTTGTACTTGATAAGCTCCTAAATGAAATAAGAATATCTGCAAAACTGTTTTCTCATTCAAAACAGAGATACTTGGCAATTTTCACTGCGGAACACGTAAATGTAAATATAAATATAATATTTTACATCTAACCATACTAATCTTTTCTCTCTAGTCTGTAATGTATTGGTTAATTAATACACAAAAAGAGTCTTACTCTGGACAAAAGGTATGTTCAGTCTGTCTACCCCATTCTTAACAGTGGTCAGTCAGTAGCAGATATTTAGAGAAAGTATATGAGAAATAGAGCTGAGAGGTCTTTATCCTGAGGTGGTTTTTGTGCTTCTGGAAATCTGATTTAGTGACTTGAGCCATTTGCTTATTATGTGTATGCTTATTATTTACGTACAAAATGATTTGCCAGATTGCCTAATCTATGTAAACTAACCATACATTTCATATACTTTCCACTCAGCTTGAAAGTAAGGATGAGTAGCATTATTCGTGCTTAGTTTCATGTGAAACGGTTTTCCATTCAACTGATAAGTTGCTTCTAAAACGTTGTGAAAGGACCATCTGTTCTAATTACTACGGAACTTACTTATTCTCTGTTTTACAGGTGATAATTCTAGAGAATCACTATCCTGTAAAAGCTTTCAGTTAGGAGAAGCATCATGTGCCTTGAAGACCAGCATTAATGATGAGGATGTGGCTAAGAAAAATACAACCAACGAACAGTTGCATGGAAGTTGTAGACCAAGGAAGCCAACTGAAGTACTTAAAACCGTTACCCCTGAACACATTGGAGAGCTTGAAATCGCTTTTGACTCTGTGCCGGGTTTGACTGAACCTAACAAGAGACAGACTTCTGATAGCGAATGTAATGAACACTGTGGAGATTCTTATGATAAAAAAGAGTTGTCTGCATTAGTATCTGAAAGTGAAAGAGCTATGGAAATTGAAAAAGGCCCACTAAGTCATAGTGCTCAAAGTAGTCCTAATTTAGAATATGTTCATTCTGATAGTCCGCAGATTTCTTTGATATCATTGGCGGAAGGTACTACAACCAGTGAAAACAAAACACATTCTGGAAGTAAATGTCACTTATCACCAGATACATCACTATCTGAAAAAACACTTATGAAAAGCCCTTCTGATGGGAGCCCTGGCCACAGTGTACTGCTGAGAAAAAACAATTCATCAATTTCTAGCCCATCAGCAGGTGGAGGAAAAGAACAGGCTGTAACAAACGATGCAGTTGCCTTACCTGGTATGTTACAGGAAAACTCTAGCCACCACTCTAACCATCAGGAACAGAGTACGCAGGCAGACTGTGCTGCAAGATCTGCAGTGAAGATTTCGGATCTTGACAAAACAGAGTTGCAGCTTGAAGCTGTTGATACTTCTAACAAACCTTATTCAAATGATCAGCATACAGTTGATAAGCCTTGTAAGAAAGACTTTAACCTCCCTTCAGGACTGTCAAACTCAGAGGGAACACAAGGGGAAATGCAAGAACCTTCATCTTCTACAAAAGTAGATGCTGATAATGTATATTTCTCTTCTGGTGACAGTGCATGTACAGAAATTTCTGTAGTTTCCACTGAAAATAATCTTACTACATCTGAAATATGCCACTCTCCTCTCCCAGAAACTGCATCCTCAACAGATGAGTCAGGTACCGAGGCCAAAAGTATAAGCCGTGTATCTTCTAGTAGTCAACCAATGGATGTCGATCCTTCTAATATAATGTCCCTCAAGATCATCATCAGCGATGATCCGTTTATTTCATCAGACACAGAGTTAAATAATGCTGTTTCCAGCATCACAGGAGAAAATTTGCCAACTATAATACTGTCTTCTCCAGCCAAATCCCCAACCAAAACTGCAGGCCTGTCCAAATGTCTCTCTTCAGAAGACACAGAAAAAAATGTGGATTCAGCTTTGGCAGAGCAGAATCTTCTTGTGCTTAGACCTAAGGATCCTGTGGTCACCTCAGTTAACACTCAGAATGAAGACTGCACCGTTTTTTCAGTTGCAGGTACAACTAATCTTTCCAAGGAAGGGGGATTTATACAGTTGATGCCAACAACAAGCACAGCTTTTGGGAATTCAAACAACCTTTATATAGCCACCTGTATGACTGATCCAGCTACCTTGGGCACAGCTGTAACACCATCAAATGTAGTTGTATTGCCCGGCAGCTCTATGCCACTTGCTGCCCAAGCTCCAGCTGTACAACAGTTACGGACTCCTCCTAGATCCAGCAATACATTTGCAGCAAACCAGACTGTCTCCCCAAATTTCTCACAAGGTAATCTCATTCTTAGAAATAGATGGAAAATGTGTTGTTTATATAGCATTTTTATTCTTTTTTTTGCAAGTGCATTAAAAGTAAACTGAATTTTTAAAAACTGCTCTATCTGCCCCTTAAAACTAGCCAGGAGTTACGTATTTTTTGAGTATATTAGTTGCCACTAAAAATGAAATAAAAATTATGAAGAGTCATTGACGAGGCTGCTTTGAAAAAAATAGCCTCATATTTCAGAAGCTTAAATTATTTAATTTTAGCAGTGATAAATTTAGGAAGCATATTTTTGGTTTACACTAGAAGAGATTCCACTGTTTCAGCTAAATAAAGCAGTTCTTTTGCTTTTGTTTTAATAAGATTCCTGTTAGAAATAGAATGTTATGTGTCATAGGTATCCATATTTAGTTCAGATAAGTGGCTAGATGCAGAGAGTCCTTCCAAGTTACTTCCTTGGTTTGTTTTGTTTCATTTTCCAAAAACCTGTTCTACAGTAGAAGTGCATTCAGACAAATATAAAAGTATAACTTTATTTCTTTCCATAATATAAAATCTCTCCTTGTTCAAGCATTTTTATTACTACAGCAATAAAAAAAATTAAGTGCTTTTTAAAATGTTAAACCTAACTATAAACCAGCTGTAATCAACACATTTAGATTTCTTTCCAAAACTAAAAACTCGTTTCAGTTATCCTTGAACTTCTGTGTGTAGTCATTTTGTTGCGGTCAGAGGCCAGTGCAACAGCATGTGCAAGATCTTGGAGTGCTGGCCTTTTCTATGGTTTGGATTTCTTTACGCAACTGCTATCTTCGGGTTTTTGTCATAGAGGGGGAAGCAGAAGTTTGCCCATTCTTCTGCACTTGATGTTTTTCCTGGTAGTGCTCATCTAAGTGAAGAACTATATGGCATAAATTTTTCTTTCACGTTTGATTTTTTTTTTTCCACTTTTCAATTAATGTGCTATAATAGTTTCCCTACTTTATAATTCCTGTATGTCTGGCAGCCGGACACTCTTACAACGTGTTAGAATAACCGTTTTAAAACAACTGTGTTAACAATGATTGAAATAGTTACATAGGAAACTTTGGCTTAAATATTCCAAATTAGTCTTATTGTGCTTTATTTTATTTTTTTAAAATAAGTAATCTCAAACCCACTAATTAACTAGAGCCTTTGTGTACTATGTTTAACACCTCCTACCAGCCAGGAATATACGTTAGATCTCTACATACAGACAAAGCTAGCCTTTCCCAGCTTGTTGTGTGCTTGTAAGGGGAAGGTGTTATGGGTGCACTGGAAGGGAAAAAAAAAATACTGCTGGTGACTTTTGAGCATGCTAATTGTAGAGAATAGGATGCAAATAATAGGTTGTTTTTACTAAGCAGCAAAATGAGCTATTTGATGTTACTGTTACTGGTTTTTATAAATCACTTTATCTTAAGGCTTGAACTTTGAATTAGGTTTGTCATACTTCAAGCTTAATTTTGAACTATTTCTTAAAAAGGAAAACTGACTTTAACTAAAGAATTAGATATAAGCTAAAAATAACACTGGTACTTACCCTGTTTTCTAGTAGTCATGTATAGTAAGGACAGTGAAGCTTTTGTAAAAAGCCAGTTTTTCTTGTCTCAGGTTTGACCATGCATAATTTTAAGAAATCCTGTCTTGAAGCACTGAAGTATTTTTAGTTTCTGTACAGTTTTAACACTTCGATATTTTTTAGGTTCTGCCATTATAATTGCATCTCCGGTGCAACCTGTTTTGCAAGGAATGGTGGGAATGATACCTCTCTCAGTAGTAGGACAAAATGGAAATACATTCTCGGCACCTGCCCGCCAGGTAGCACATCACAAATAAAGCTCTTCTTAAAGCTGAAGTGATAAGGAGCCTTTTGGTAAACTGTAATGGACTATTTTGATTCTTTCAAGGTTCTACATATGCCTGTGGCTAATCCAGTGTGCAACAGAAGTGTCCCAAAACTTCCCATCCCTCCCAAATCACAAAAGATTCCTGGAGCAAGAAACAAGACTAATACAGGTACCCGCCTTGCATTCTTGAGAAGGGCAGAAGAAAAGTGAGGGTTCTAAAGACATGTCAGTTCTGAGTAATAAAGTTTTGTAAATACTGGTGCTCCTCTGCCAGGTAACTGCTGGGGTGGCTTTGAGAGAGGCCTGTACCTGCACTTAGTAACTGTATTTGCTCAGTTTACAAAGAACTCCCAGCATATAAAATAATTCCAGATTTGGGATCAAGCTTATTTCCAAAATGTAATGTTTCAAGGCTCTAATGCAGTTTTAAAAGTTTACTTTTCTTTATATTTCTGGTTATTTTTCATCTCGTTGGTTGTAAGTACAGTTTACTGCTGCCGTTGAAACCAAGCCACATGGGAACAAAGAAGTTATTAGAAGAGTCAGCAATTCTAAACGTGTATTAAGGAAAATACTTAATAGAAATGTTGCATATTTATACAAAAAATGCACTCTGCTATCTGTTTTCCCTTTGCCATTTCTGTATTTTCATTTCATTGAGACCTTGCTTCTTTAGTAGTAAATTGAAACAAGACTGGAGTTACATTCATTTCTCAGTGTTGGGAGGGGGTAAAGAAAAATAATTGAAAATAGAAAATAAGTTGAGTTACAAGAACAACTTGTGCTCTAGCCTGTCTACCTTTTTCAAAAAGAGTAGCCTGACACATAAAAATGAAAACAGAATGAAGTTGCAAATTAAGAAAAAAGCTAGGATTGTATAGTTAGTCTGCATTCTGTTTTGCTGATGGATAACTGAGAGTTCCCTGTGGTTATTTCCCTTCTACTTGGAAATCCCTGCTGTGCATTTATAAGTCCAGCATAGTTGGTTTTGTCTTGCCAGGCCTACGTATTATCTAAGTGTAGACAGCAAGCTGCTTGTTTATGCTTAGATGGCGACCTTTGCTAATCTATTAATCTGTAAACTTTAAAATTATGAAAAAATTGCAGAGTTTTGTTGCTGGATTTTTCTTTATTGATTCTCTGTCAGGTGAACTGTCATTGTACTAACTGCGAGATGATTTATTTGGAATATTGTAGTTTATTAATACTTCATCTGTTGTTCCAGGAAAACTGGTACCAAGTGTAGCTGAGCCTTTGAACCATACAAATTCTCGAACACAAAGGTCAGTAGTGCTAGGTATTCAAACATGCTTTGTTTTCCCTGGCATGAATTTCTTCGTACAGTATCGGTGGAGAGGAGAGCAGCTTTTTTTAACAATAGCATAAGCAGTACCCCCTTTATTTCCTCCTGTCTGTCTGCTAGGAGTACTGATACAGATGTGCGCTAGTACTGGTGCAGCCTGTGCTAGAATTTTGTGTTACTGTTCCAATGTTAATTTTGTATGGCTTTGTGTTTATTTTCTCCTGTCTCAATTGTCAAATAAAAATTGTTTGAGCGGAGTCCAAACTAGGAGAAATTGCCTGTTACATTTGCTGGGAGATTTTAATGACTAAAACTTTTTTTTTTTTTTTTTCTTTCCAGATGAGTGGTACCCATGGTTTTGTAGCATAGCCTCATTGCCTTTACCACTCTCTGGCCCAAATCCAGTAGAACTTGTTAGCTTGGGTTTTGCATCTGTGTTTCAGCTCTGCGGATTAGAACACTGCTCGGTCATTTATAAAGTGAAGAGTCAAAGGAAAGATGGCGAGGAGAACAGCTTGCTAACTTTATATTGATGAATATAACTTAATTGCTAATTGGGATAGGTGCTAGTTTTCTGTTGGGCAAGTGAGAAAGAAGAAAGCAAGGCTTCAGTAGTGGCTCTCCTTATTGTTAATGGACTTAAGAAACAGAAGGATGTTGGAATGAGCAAAAGAGTGTAGGAGGAGATAAGATGTTCAGTTTAAATATTAGAGGTGAAACATTCTTTTATTGTAAAAATAAAACATACTTAGAAAAAAAATAATCTACCTATTCAGAACTCAGTTGATATGTTGGAAAAGTGGAGGAGAACAGGAACAATAAAGTTAACTCATTAAAAACCCCCAAAACGTATACCAAGGTATACAGCATACATGCATGCAAAAAATAGTGATTTTTAAAAAGCCACAGAAGCAAGACTTTGGATAGCATCACTTTGATAATTCAGCTTTCTGTTAATTTTAGTCGATCTCCAGGCATATATTTTGCATTGCAAAGAGAGCAAAATGTTCCCTGTAAAGAGGTGTAATTTCTCATTTCTGCTCTCTACCCTCTGTCTCATCTCAAATTCGTGGAAATAAAACAAACTGCTACCACCTATACCTTCTTTACCATCCCAAAGGTACCAAAGTTACCATCCCAAAGTTAGCTTGACTTTTCCCCTTACAAACCATACAGGCTTATCTGCATGGGGAGAGTCTTACTAGCATAGGTGAATATGCAGAAGCTTCTCTTGTAAATGCAGCCTAAGTCAGGAGAAGGGCACAGACGTAACAGTGGTATGAGCTGACAGAGCAGAAGCGTTTTTCTTTTGACATCGCTACAGTGCCGTGGTGGCTTTTTCATGCTCACGTGGCTGGTTGTCAGGTGGAGACCAAGCCCTAGGGAGTTTCTATGTTCTCTTCCAGATGCCTGCTGAATACTTTTTGTCTTGCGCTGTATACCGCCACCTACAGCAAATGCATAGGGGAGAGCACAAGGCACGTGCATGATGATATTGCCCAGAATATTCTGGCAGCCTCTTAGCCGTTTCAGCTCCGACGACTTCCAGAGCCACAACCAGTATTCTGGGATGGACTATCCTGTCGTGAATGTGCTCAGTTTCTTTTTGAACTTAAGTAAACTACCAGCATCCACAAATATCCCAGGGTAAAAAAGTTCCCAGGCTTAATTACATGCAGCGTCCAAACCTCCTTGTTTTGTTTTGAACTTGATACTAGTTTTACTTGATGCCCCTAGTTCTTCCGCTGGAAGATACAGCAAATACTTTTCTTTTTGTTGGCTTTTTTTTCCCAGACCTCTGTTGCATTTCCCCTCAGTCATCTCTTTCCAGGCTGAAGAGCCCCAGTCTACCTAATTGTTCTTTATACAGGCTCTGTTTCATGCCTTTTTGTCATCCTTTTTGGCCTTCTCTGAGCTTCCTGCAGTTGTCGTCCCTTACTCTTGGTCTTTGTGTGTCAATAAAACACTTAACGTTTAGAGAATGGAGAGAGCTTTAAACAAACAGCTGTTTTGAGGGGCAGGTGGGGACTTCCAGCCAGCTGAAATGAACTCGCCTAGTAAGAACAAGTGTGTTGCTGAAGTGTTTTCATCTCATTTTCAGGACTGGAAATTTGGACAAGCTTATCACTGCAGAACTAGGAAGGAAAGCTGAGGAGAACTTACCTGTTGCACCAGTAGAGAGCACAAGCTCAAATTCAAGACAAAGTGAAAGTCACAGGAGGGTGCTTTGCTTTGATAATGTCCTACCCACTCCAGGAGGGAACACCCAAATTCAGGCTACTAAGAGTTTATCCCAAAAAGAAAGAAACGAAAATGCTTTATTTGCTGTTGACTCTGCATCATCCTCTGCTAAGGCACAGGTAGCAAAGAGAGAGAAAGATAAAACGTTGCCTAGAATTCTGTGTAAGCCAGAAATTGGTAGCAACAGAAGTGCATCCACGAAGGAGCCACAGCCCGAGCGGAAGGTGGCAACTGCAGGGCTTCCATTAGATCCCTTCCACAAGACTACAGCAAATAAAGAAAATGAACTACGAAGGGATACTGATGAAAAACAGAAGAACCAGGACACTGCCAAACTCTCAAATGGCCAACAAAGTGTTGGCTTATGGAATGAGAAGACAGTCGCTTCAGTGCAAGAGCTGAACAAAAAGCAAGGGTCGCTGTCGAATGGGAACGGCAAATCTTCAGTGTCCGTTTCTTTGTCTTCGAAGGAGCCAAAGCGAGAACCAGCTAAAGTTTCCAACCAAGGCCTTTGCCTGTCAAGTCCGTTCACTAAGCAATGTGTGGAAATGTTGCAAGACATTCAGTGGCATAGCCCGACTAGTAAAACAGTTGAAAACGGAGAATTACCAGTACCCCGTACGCCGTCTGGAGTTGGGGACAGGCACGCAGATGATACTACAGATAGTGTACGGACACCGACCTGTCGGCGCTTCAACGAGGACAGCACGACCCCTAGAATAATGGTGCCCCCCGCTACGCCAGACTTGCCTGCCTGCAGCCCGGCTAGTGAAACAGGTAGCGAAAACAGCGTCAGTATGGCTGCTCACACGCTGATGATCCTGTCACGGGCGGCTATTGCAAGGACTAGCACTGCAACCCCCCTGAAGGACAATACTCAACAGTTCAGGTCTTTAAGGAGCACAGTAAAGAAAAGGAAACTAGAGGACTTGAATGAGGGTGAGAGAAATTCTCGTTCTGCAAATAAAAAAGACCTTCAAAGCTCTCCAACACCATCAAAAAAGAAGAAAATAAAGGCAAGTACAGGCATTTACTTTTTAATTTAAAATTCTAAATATTTATTAGACATCTCTCTATATATTATTTATAATGGGATGGTTCAGAGGTGCTAGTCCAAATCCCCAACATCCTATTTATATTTGTCAGTTCTACTAACTTTGCCTCTTGAGCCTACTCTGAACTAACAGTTTTAAGATCAGGACGGTCTTAAGATACACACAAGTCACTCCTGCTGACTCTCTGCACATACCTATGAAAATCAAAGTATTTCTCGTAAAACATGAAGGAGTTTCTAAATTCTAACTGCAGAGTAAGTTTCTAGGTGGAATGTAGGAATTAGGCCAAACTCAAACTAGGCCTTACGAGAATTCAAGCTGTTCCTGCATCCTTGTTTACCACCCGGACTAGGAATGCACGTTTTCTGTATTCCCGGTCTCTCTAGTTACAGCACCACGCCTCTGACTTGGGGATTTAGTGGCATATAGCAAAGGTGTGAGACGTGAAAAGGTGACGTACATAATTAATCAAAAAGGAGACACAGTATAACTTTGTAATTCACCATACTTAGGTTACAGCATGCTCCTGAAATATTAGAACTGAAAAACGCTCGCTTACTCGTACTGCGTATGTGGCGAGAGCTGAGCGGCTGTGCCTGGCTGAAGGCCCGGTGGGCTGCTGCTGAAGCTGCGAGCTCAGCTACTCCTGGCTGGTAACCGTGCCATTTGTACCCCGGGGGCACACGTGAGTGTGGCTGCGTTTCCGCGGCCGATTTCTAGGTGAGCTTTGCGCGGTTACATCTGCAAGGTAAATGGAAGGATGAGAAAGAAAGGCGTGCGTACAGACTCTTCAGTATCCCCGGGTTCTGAGTATTTGACAGAACTGTTCTTTTCCTCTCCCACAGAAAAAGAAGCTACCAAATGCTTTTCCAGCAGG